CCTGCCAGTCACAGAGCTTGGAAGTGGCAGAGTTAGAACATGACCATATGACTCCAGAGATCTGAGTCTAAATTTATAGCAAAGGCATAGAACTGTGAGTCTTCTCCCAAGAGAAGAAAACTCTGCAGCCTACTACAGCCCTGGGAGCCCACCCACCCACCTACTCACTCACCATTCTCTGGGGGCCTCTTCCACTTGAGCTGAAGGTTGAGGTTGCGGGAGTTATTGATCATGGCTGTGTCAAGCAAGTCATAGACAGCATAGGTTTTCCGAGTGCCCAGGATGACATCCTGGTAAGTGGTGGTGGGGGGTGGGTTCACCTCCAATGTCTCATTGTCCTAGGAACACAGGGGCAGGGCTGAGAAGCAAGCAAGGGGGCAGGGTGGTTTTGGGAAGGAAGGCTGTGTGACTGCAGACCTTGGTACCTGGCTGTAGCTGGTGATGTCCACGTAGACTCGGCTCTCTGAAGCCAGAGGGCAGGGCTCTGTGAGGGTTCGGGAGAACATCCGGAAGAGGGACCAGTCTAAGAACAGAGAGGGAGATTGAGCAGACACCGGCACCGACCCTGACCTGCCCCGGAAAGCAGGGCTGGGACGGGTGGGCAGAGATGAGTTGCCAAGGCAGCTTACCTTTCTTCCCCTGCCCCGTGACGAAGGCGTCAAACACAACCGAGAGGGTCTGCCTCAGCTCCCAGGAGATGCTGGTACAGCGTGCGTTCTACCACAAGGCCAGATGGTAGCAGTGAGGCGGCCTCGCTTTCACCCAACCACATGGCCTCAAGGACTCCAACCGGGACACAACCCCTCCTGTGTTTATGTATGTTCGCATCTATCGATCTGCTGCAGTTCACTACTGCGCACTGGAGCCTGGGCCAGGCCCCGCTGGCAGCATTCTGCACATCACTTTAATGAACTAGCCCAATCCAAACAGCCGATTCTACTGCTATTTTTATGTGATGGATGAGCGGGAACAAGGCTCAGGGAAATGAAATGATTCACTCAAGGTCATGCCAACTGGCAAGTGACTCAGCTAGCAGTTGTACTCATACAGCTACTGTTCCTAACTACTATATGCTCCAGGATAAAAATTTATTGAGTACTCAGTGGGATACAGATTTATTGAGTACTCAGTTTCCCTGGTACTCAGCCAATGCCCTAAATAATCATCATCACATCTGCCACATAACTACTCACTCAGCCCAAGCCAGAAAATGAGCTGTGTCTGCACCTTCTCTCAGTGCCCCTAGAAGGCACCTATCATCATTTCCTAGGACTTACTCTGCAGATAGGGCGGATATGCACTGCCTGGGAGTGGTAACTCGTATGGAATAAGCGATCAGCCTTCAGGAGCACAGAGAGGCCTGCCTGGAGGAGGTGGAAGAGATAAAAGGTCAGCACCCTGCTGGATGGAGTGACACACACTTGAAATTCCAGCTACTTGGGAGGCTGAGGCAATATACCCTGTCTCAAAATTTTAAAAAATTTAAAAGGGAGGCAGGAGAGTATAGCTCAGTAGTAGAGTGCCTGTAGGGTCAATCTCCAGTCACACACACACACACACACACACACACACGCACCCCCTGGTGTTCTGCATGGAGCAGCTGGTATGAGGTACAGGTTTTCTTAAAACTCCCTGGCTTCAAGAGGGCATCTTCTAAATTTATTCCCGCTTTGGGGCCATCAGCTCACCTTGGAACTACAGGGCAAGAGCTTCTTCCATGGGGTGAGGTTTTCAGTGCAGACAACCTCCCTTGGCAGCACAGCATAGCGCAAGAAGTAGTGATCGGTGTCTGTGGGAAAAAGACATTCACCTGAGGTGGACCTGGGGCCCTCTGCTCAAGACCCCACACTCTGGGGACGGGGGTCATCCCCCGACACACACACACTACTCTCTAGCACCACTGCCCAAAGATTCCCAGCTGCATGGGAAGAAGGCAAAGCAGAGAGAGCAGTCTCTGCACATCCATGGGATTTCGGAGGTAGCCCAGGCTAAGGAAGGGGAAACGGAGGGGAATGGAGACAGAAGAGTGAGCAGGGAAGGGACACAGGGGCTCTCTTACCATCAGCCAGCCCCAAAGGTTTGAAGGAGGCAGTGGGAGTGACTGTGTTGGTGGAGTCAATGAAGTTGAGAGAGGCGCAGAAGATCCCTGAGAGCACATTACTGAGCTCCTTCCAAGATTTATCCACACTGAATAGAGACACAAACCCATTCATTGTCCTAGGGCTGCCTCTGCTCCCACACGAAGCCCCTGCTAAGCCCATGACAGGACAAGGCTGTCTTAACCACTCAGCAAGCTGGACGATAGAACTGGACCACACACACACACACACACACACACCCTGCTCACGCCCTCCTCAGCCTCTTCTTCCTCACTTTCCTCTGTGCCCACTTTCAAGGTTCAGCTCCAGTCCTGGTCCGCTCCTCCAGGAAGCCTTGCCTGCCTCCTCAAGCACAGCCTCCTCTGTGCTGCTGCAGTTTTAAGCACCCACCTCTCACTAGGTCCCTTCCAGCTAACGGCTCAGCAGCAGCAGCATCTTGTCCTAAGTACCTCTGCTCCCCAACTAGGCTGTGAAGAATTTCATAAAGACTAGCCTATGCCACCTATGTACTTCCCACAATGCCATTGGAAATGCCCCAAACCTCAGCGCTGAGATCAGCTCACTGGTCCTCCCTGAGTGTGCTCAGCTGGGCAAAGCGACAGACACTGCTCTCCAAATACCCTGGGGATGAGGCTAAGTCCTAGCTCCTCCCTCAGGGTGGGAAGTCATATCCCAAACACTCACTGAACAAAGGAAAAGCATCCATTCTAGTACCTCACAAAAACATCAAATTAAGGTGTTCTTTTCTTACAGAAATATCAAAAGCTTTGCTCTTTATATTAATAACAAGCATAAAACTTAATAGACACCAGAATTTTAAACATCAGCTCAATTTTGGGTTAAAAGGAGACAGTGACAGCAGAGCAAATAGGAAAAAAAAAAAAAAAAGGTAAGGGATCCAGAGTTCAGGCAAGAGAGAAAGTCTTGAAGGTGTAGTCCTGCTTGTTCCTCACTTAATATTGATTTAGTGCAATATTTGATAATTTTTTTGATAATCCTTCGTTCAGCACAATTTTTCCATTGCTTCAATCGTTAAGCCTCAAACAAAGATCACAAACTTGAAGCCTGAAAGCTCTACCCAGACCAGAACCATGCTTTGTTTGGTGTGCACAACCCTAACATATGTAGCATTTAAAAATTTTTTAAGTTACTCGTTGATATTTAAATCTGTTAATTTTCACATTAAATGCTGGTCTCTTGAAAAATGAGAGTCTGACCACATTAGACCTCTATTGCCACATGGCAACAATTCCCTTGAGTACCGACTGAGTGATGGCTTCAGATTTTCACACTGGCTCTTACAGGCTTGTCACTGTACTCATCGTTTCTAGTACTGCCCTGGGTTCAGTCCCTAGTACAATCAGTCAAGTTATCCAATTTCTGAGTTTTCTATGCCCTTGTACCCAAATACGCGTCAATCATTTATTACCTGCTTCTATAGGTGTATTTTTTTTTTTTTGTACCGGGAATTGAACTCATGACCTCAGGCTTGCCAGGCAAGTGCTTATGCTGCTGAGCCATATCCCCAGCCCCTTACCTGCTTCTATAGGGATATGCATGTGGTACCTCAAGTCTGGAAGTATTACAGGAAGGACCTTTACTCAGTAAAGAATGTCATTCAGGGGCAATATCACATCTTACTTCCAAAGTTGCTCTACCACCACGGGATCGCTTCTTACTGGAACTGCTGCTCCGCAAGGGCAGTGGCAGGATGACAACACCTATCCCTCTCATACTCCTTCCATGACCTGCAATAGGACTCAAGGTGTGCACTCACTCAGTGACAGTGTCTTGGAACCAGACCCAGAGCTCTGCACCTGATGGGGCCTGTAGGAAGGGTGACCCCCAGTATCGCGTTCTCCAGAAACCTTGCGTGAATGACAGGTGCAGTTCCCGCAGAGAATACTTAGAGATCAGCTGGCCCAGGGCTTTGGGGAAGAGCCTGTAATGAGATACTGGGGAAAAGCAAGCAGGTAAGTGGCGATCCCCCGCCTTCCCATCAGGACCTATGCTCTACTTGGAATCAGCCCCGCCTCCAGGGGTTGCCTCCTTCCCCCACCCCAGCAGGTGCCTCGGAAATATTTCTCCGGTCAGGTCTCATTCTCCCACCTCCTTCCCGCTGCAGTTCCGAATCCCAGCGCGTACGGAACTGGAAAGTAGCGGCTACGTCCCCGGAAGGCAGCGGGGTGATGACGAGCTCCTCCCGAAAGCTATCGCGTGGGGGCTCTGCATGGCCCCAGCCGACCAGCCTTAGGAAGAGTAGCACGACCAGAACGCGCGGCACTGCGGCCGCCATGATTGCGGCCGCTTCCGCCCCCGGCGTGCCCGCCCCCCCTAAAGGCCGGCATCCAATAGGAAAAGCACTTGAGTAGTAACTTCCGCTGCCTTCCCGGAAACGAAGTGCGGTTACTAGCGCTACCGCCAGGATTGACAGCGGCGGTAACCTTCCATACTGTCGGGTCTCAGGCGTTGAAAGGGAAAGAGAGTCGGTGTGTAACGGGGTGAGGAGTGGACTTGAGAACACACCAGTCGGGGTGTTTCCGCTCACCAGAAAATGCTTAATAACGAGGAACGCAGGCATTGGCACTTGATAGTTGAGGAACAGATTGAACGAGGTCAGTTACTTTTGCGAGGTCACTCCGGTGGGTCTGTGCCGCCCTCAACTTCTAGTGTCTCGATTTGCTTGGTCCTAAATCTAGCTGGCTCTTCTGGGGACAGAACTTTCCTGCAAATGCCCCAAATAACTGGCCTCTTATGAGGAAAAATTTCAAACTTACAGCAAAGTGAACGACGGTTTCCCATCACCTAGATTGCACCATTAACAACTTATGCTAAAAAAAAAAAAAAAAAAAAAAATTTATACTAATTTTGAGTTTTCACATATCCGGCTATGAATCCATTAATAAACTTTATAGTTTAGTGCATTTCAAAATAAATAGCAGACATTGGTACACTTCTTTCTAAATAGTTTGGCATGTCTATAAAGTTCCGTATTTGTTTACATTTTTCTTTCGATGTAAAATTCATGTACAATGAAATGCACAGATCCGAAGGGCACATTCACTGAGTTCTGACAAATGCATATACCTATGTAACACGAACTCCTATCCAGATACAGAACATTTTGAAAACCTGGGACTTGGGATATAGCTCAGTGGTAGAGCACTTGCTTAGCATACATGAGATTTGGGTTTGGTACCTAGCACTGAAAACAGAACACCAGACAGTAACCTAATATCTCTTCCCAGCAAATCCCTGCCTTCATACACCTTCCAGAGGCAACCAATGTTCTGATTTTTTTCCAACAGTAGGTTGATCTGTTGAGGACTAAATATATAAATAAAATATAGTGCAGTATGTATACATTTTGTGTAAGGCTTTTCACAGCATGAATATTTTTGAGAATTATCCATGTTCTTGTGTGTATCAACAGTTTTGGGATGTTTTTTTTTTTTGCCATGCCGTATTACATTGTACAAATAAGCCACAGTTTCATCCATTCTGTTGATGGGCATCTGGGATTTTTGAAGTCTTTGGTCACTATGAACTGTTATCTGTACAGTTTGCACTGTAGACATGTTTTTCATATACCTTAGGCAAATATTTGGGAATAGAATTGCTGGGTCAAGAAAGACATGTATATTTAGATTTATAAGAAACTGTCATGCTGGGTACGGTGGTGCAGGCCTGTAATCCCAGTATTTGGGAGGCTGAGGCAGTAGGATCACTGTGAGCCTGCCTGGGCTACATAGTGAGTTCAAGATGGGCCTGAACTACATAGCAAGACCCTGTCTCCAAAAAAACAAAACCTGTCAGACATTTCTCCAAAGTGTGTCATTTTATTGTATCAACTATATGAGAGCTCTGGTTGCTCCAGATCTTACTCATTTGGTGTTTTGAACTTTTTGGACTTTTTAGGTTTAGCTACTTCAATATATATATGTATTAGTAACTCATCATGACTTTAATTTGCATTTCCCTGATAATTAACGATGTTGAATTTATATATATATATATATGTTTTTGTTTTTGTTTTTTTTTAAGACAGGGTCTTGCTAAATAGTTCAGGCTGGTCTTTAACTCACTATGTAGCCCAAACTGGCTTCAAACTCCCAGGGATCCTCCAGTCTCAGCCTCCCAAGTGCTGCGATTACAGGTGTGCACCACCATGCCTCACTCATATTCTCATTTATGTCTTCTTTTGAGAAAGTTCTGTTAAAATCTTTTGTCCACATCCCCCCTTTACCAGCTTGTTTGCCTTTTTATTGCGTTGTATGAGTTCCAATGCTAAATTCACATTTCGTTTCACCATCTGGCCTGTGGAGAACACATTCATAAAAGATTTTGTGAACAGTGTCATGGTAAAACTCAAAGTCATACTTCTAGGAAGAGCCAAGTTTGGTGTCAGGCAGGTCTGCCAAGACAGACTCCCAATGACTCAGAAAGGAAGTGTCAAAAAGCTATCTTTATCTCATGTTCTCCTTTTACCTGTAACTAGTGTTCCTGCCCATTAGACAGAGAATAGTAGGAAGGCCATCAGCTGGATGTCAGGCAGACTTGGATTCAAATTCCTACACCAGCCTTTAAGCCATATGAGCCTAAGCAACCCAAGAGTCATTTTCCCTCCTCTGTAAAATGGAAAGTTTTCAGAGTTATTGTCAGAAATTATGTGCTTATAGGATTCAAAATGTACCAAGTGCTTAGTAACATTGACTCAAGCTACCCATGAGGTAGGCACCATTATCTCCATTTTATAGGTGAGCAAATCGCAGTTCAGAAACCAAGATAATTTTCTTAGATACCAGTGAGTGGTGGAGCCAAGACTAGAGTCTACAATACCAAGTTGGAAATAATTTTTTTTAAAAAAGCAGCTGCCATGATTATGATTATTTTGTGCTTCTGTGCTTTGTTTCCTTTTGAAATTGCCTGTCCCTGTTATTCAAGACCTAGCTGCCTCTAGTGAACCCTCTTCCTCTCCAGTGGGCTGCAGTCTTTAGTACACTTCTGCCACAGCCCACCTCACATTAAATTTCCATTATCTAGCCAGGTCTGCTTCTGGAAATGCTTATGGTCTCCTTAGTATTCCATTGCTATGCAAATGGCTAGCATATAATAAGTATACTCAATAATGCGTGACTGAATGAACCTGGGCATGGTGGCACATGCCTCTAACCCTAACTACTGAGGAAGCTGAGGCAGGAGGATCACAAGTTCAAGTCCAGGCTGGATGATTTATGGAGACTCTGTCTCAAAATTTAAAAAGGCTGACTGCTTGGTGGCACATGCCTATAATCCCAGCACTGGAGATGCTGAGGCAGGAAGATTGCCACAAGTTCAAGGCCAGCCTAAACTACACAGTAAGATGCTTTCTCAAAAAAACACTTTTTTTAAAAAAGGCTGAGAATGTACTCAGAGTTAAAGCACTTGCCTGGCATGCACAAGGCCCTGGGTTCAATCCAGTCCCCAGTACTCAAAAACAAAAACATAGCACAATTCTCTGTTGTCCCCATATTGCCCTGCTGTTCATAGCGAGTTCTCTCTTTTCTGGGCAGTGCTATAGTGTGACTCTTCTGAGCTGTAGCCTCTCATTTTTCCTCCACAGGATCGGGTTCTATAAGGATGAGCCTGTCTTCTCCCCACACCTCCGGTGTCCGTGTGGATGTATACCCAGTAACAAGTCTATGCAACAGAAGGAAGCATCTCTGTGACTTGGAGACTGAAAGCTACACTCTGTGACTCAGAATTAGTGCCAGATCATCCTCCCATCTCCAAGGGCACTATGTGGGCTCAAAACACAGTCCGCTGAAGATGGTGCCTCTGAAGGCCAGCCAACCCCCTGTGGTTTGGCAGAAGAAGAGGTCATTGTCCCAACCAGGAAGTGGTCCTGTGGTCTCAGATGACCCAAGACTTTTCCCATCAGCGCTGGGGCTCATAGCCACTGAACTGAAGGCTTCCTAGAGATTCAAACAATTCTACTTCTCAAGAGGGCTCCCTAGTCAGACTCTCTGTCCCTCCTCCACAGTCTCAGTATTGTGTGACTGGGGTACTAAGAGATTTATTGGCATGTTGATGGCAATCAAGGCAGTACAGCTTCCCAGCATTCACCATGCAGTGAAGAGAGTAACCCTGAGAGCAGAGCTTCGGGGGTCATGGGTTACAGCCCCAGAGAATACTCAGCCAGTCAAATAGGAGGTAAAGCCTTGCTACTCTAAAGGAAGGAAGGGGTAAAGTCACAAGAGGACAGAGACAATCTCAGTGGATGATCTGAACTCTGACCCAGTGACTTTGGACAAAAGATACACATTCCACAAGCTTTCGTGAGATGGAAAAAGGCAAAAAGGCAAATGGAACTCCTTCCCTTGAGCACCCACAAGCTTCCCACTATCTTTAGGAAGAGCACTTAGGAAATCACTTACTATGGCCTCCTGTGGGGCTGGAAGCAAGATGGGACTACTGGTAGACCTGCAACCCTGTTGCTCAGCCTGAGTAGCGCAGAGCTTTATGATTTAGGCTGACAGCCAGGCATGATAGTGCATGCCTGTAATCCCAGCACTCGGGTGGCTGAGGCAGGAGGATCGTTGCGAGTCTGAGACCAGCACGGGCTACAAAGTGAGTTCACAGTCGGCCTGAACTGCACAGCGAGACACTGACTCAAAAAGACAAAAGATAAAATAAAAATAAAGATTTAGGCTGACAGTCATTAATCCCATGGGTACTGTTTGATATATGAAGGGAAGTGAAATTGTGTGTGTGTCTGTGTGTAAAATGAGTTTGTATTTCTTAAGCCTGGATTCTGTATCCCCTCCATTCAACATTCCCTGGGCAAGTTCATTCACCCACAGCTTCACTTAGCGCCTCTACACTGGTAACTCATTTATTTGTTTCCAACCCAGTCTTCTCACCCAAATTCCACCCCTCTGGATCCAGGTGCCTAATCAGTATGTCCAAAACCAAATGTGTAACCTCATTCCCAAACATGGTGCTTCTCAACTGCCCCCGTCTGGGACAAGGGCTCACTAAACCATCCTGCCGCAGGAGGCAGAAACAGTGGCAGCATCCTCGACACCTTCCTCTCTCACGCCCATTACCTCTTTTGGAAGTTGCCTTCTAAATCTCTCTTCCACCTTTCTCCATCTCCCTACCTCCACAGTCCCCTGTTCTCTCTTGTCTAGCCGGCTGCAGTCATCTGGTTTCCAGGGGTCTCTTCTGGCTCCCTCCTGTCAGTGCTCTACAAGGGGCCTTCCAGCCAGTCTCCCCCAGTTTATTCATTGGGATCTTTGCTCAAATGCCAACTCCTCAAAGGAAACACCTGGTAATCTCTCTGAATAGGCTACTTCCTAGCACTAGTCATAGTTGAGATTTTACACCGCCCCCACCATACTATAAACCTTTGTGACAGCAAGGTCTTTTTGGGGGGGGGACGGGGTTACATCCACAGCGTCTTGCACATGCTAAACTCCAACACTTAATCATTATTGAATGAATTATGTCACTTTCTTGTGCCCTGCTTTAACTCAAGTAAGTTAATCACCGGTCTTCTGGGCCACCATTACCTCTTGCATAGATTACTGTGGTATCTGTCTGTCTGGAGCCTGTCCTCCAGTATGCTGTCTACATTGTACTCAACATTAGCTTTTAAATAAATAAATCCAAGTTCGGCATGGTGGTGGACACCTGTAATCCCAGCACTCAGGAGGCTGAGGCAGGAGGATCGCTGTGAGTTTGAGGCCAGCGTGGGCTACAAAGTAAGTTCAAGGCCAGCCTGAACTGCATAGCAAGACCCTGTCTCAGAAAA